TGATAAGAAATATCATATAGTTGAATTATGAAAATTAGGAGTGCAACTATACCTTCCTGGTATCGGCTCTCGCTGGTGAACCTTTAAATAAACAGAATTTAAAACCAGTTTTGCACACCAGCTTCGATCAAAATATGACGACCAAAGCAGATGTCCGTGCTGGTCGTCATCCGTCTGCTCCACGCACGCCAGACGCCCCGTAAAGGGTGACTGACCACGGAGACTCTGACCCACCATCAGGAGCCCTGTGCTGGGTCTCTCCATTCTCTGGGACTGCTGCTTCATGCCCAGGTGGAGAGACGTGATGAGGACCCAGCTATCAAACCCGAGAGCTGTTCTGAAGCTCCAGAAAGATAAAAATTTGATGTCAAACATAGGGGGCGACGTTGACTCTTGGTCTAACTGAAACAGTTAATGGGAACTATTTCCTACATAGGACTGCACTGCAGACACCAACTGTGACGACCAGCATGGTGGATACAAACATGCAGTTTTACTTAGAGCTACATCTCAAAGAAGTTTGGAAAGGGAACACGTATTTTTAGAAGTAAAACACTTGGCTACGTTAATCACCGTGGTCCGGTCACCCACCCTCTCCACTGTTCTACGAGGTTTCACATAACCCGAAGCGGGAAGGCAGACCTTTCTAACGGCCGTGTCAGAGCTGTGCAGACGGTGAACGCAGCAGCGTGGGGCTCCCAGGAAACATTCAGCTGAGGGACAATGAGAGGAGAGGGACAAGGTTAAAAGCTACACATTTTCTGAACCTTCGAGGAGAGAAAGTCTGTCCTGTCCAGCAAAAGGCAAAGGGAGCTGGAAGGGAGGAGGAAGGACGTTACGATGTCTACAAAGAACTGACAGAAATCATGATCGCCAGTCATTCACAATCCTGGTACCCACGGGAGGGGTGGAGCCTTGAGCCCCCTTTCTCACCGTGGAATATTATACAGCTGTTCAAATGACATTCTTTCCTCATTTGCTTATTCACAATATAGTAAGATGTTCAAATATACCTGATAAAGTTCTGAAACAATATACATAGCATGATTCCATTTTCATTTAAAAGTAAAACATACACACATACGCAGGTAGAATAAAGTCTGAAAAGAGCACACCCAAACTGTGAATGGTCGCAGCAGTCAGTGATGGACTATAAGTGACTTTTTTTTTTAATCCTCACCCAAGGATATTTTCTCATTTATCTTCAGATAGAGTAGGAGGTGGGGAGGGAGGGAGGGAGAGACATCTATGCAAGAGAGACACATCAATTGGTTGCCTCCCACATGACCCCAACCAGGGACAGGGACAAACTGCAACCCAGGAATGTGGCCTTGACTAAATCGAACCCGTGACTTTGGTGCTCACGCCGGCGCTCTAACCGCTGAGCCAAACCGGCCAGGGCTGTGACTGTCACCTCCTTTGGTGCACTGCTCCCTGCCACCTAAATGTTCTCTGCTGAACACTGTCCACTTCACAGAGAAACATCAAAGCTATTTCTGTTCTGGAAGAAATGTCAGTGGAAATTGTAACTAATACTTAAATAACTTGGAGAATTGGATTCATTTTATCATAATCCTGCCAGGACCTGCTTTATCGTAAAAAGGCAAACACCTGTAAATGTATTCCATAGGTATACTGTGGACTATTAAAATAATTAAAGCACTTTGCTCTAGGAGATATTTATGAAAATCTCTCTGTAAACTCAACTTTTTAAGAGAAATTATATTAGAGTTTATAACTTAAATCTTTTATTTCAAATCCCTTTAGGTAAAACAATGTGTATTCCCAAATTCACCTTGTGAAAATCCAGACTTTTTGCTTAAGGAGACAATTATTTTCGTTTGACTTACTCCCGAGAAAGGGACCCATGGCGCCCTAAGGGACCGAGTGATCTGGCATCACCGTCCCCGAAGACTACAGGTCACGGTGCGCCAGCCAGCGCGTTGCCTGCTTCCTGCACGCTCCCTGAAGGCGAAGTGCAGGATTCGGAGATGGGGACACCTTTTCTGTGCCGACCAGCCAGAGCCACTGCCGAGGGAAAAGCTTTATTTCCTCCTTTCAAGCGTCATCCAACAAACCGTTCACAAAGCAAGTACAAGAGCAGAAACCACAACGGCACCCACCTGGGCTGGGCCTTACAGTTACTGCTTCTCCTTGGGAAAAGAATACATGTTTGAACAACTTCATTTAAACATTCCCAATTACACCCATCGCACTTCCCTTTCTCTGAAGTTAGCAACAGACAGGTACATGTTAGGTGACTAGTCTCACAGTCGTCGTCATCTTTCTTCATACTGAAATAACAGAAAGCCTATAAAAGAAAAGGCTCGTTTACATAATAGATCCCACTGTATCAAGCAACCACACACAACCGATACTCTGTAACATGGATAAAAAGTAGGATAAGCTGTTTGAAAGAAAACATAGTTAATAATTTTTTATCTAATTTTAATCAAATGAATAAAATATTTATCTGGTAAAATAGTCTCTGTATTTTAGAATATAAAAAGTGATCACACTTTTTAAAAATAAAAGAATAAACATGTCAATGGAACTGAAATAATTGAAATAAAGTGGGGAGCGTGGGAATCACCACTTTTTCCCCAAGACAGGAAGTAGGAGTGCGTTCACCTGAAGTCAGAAAGGGGGCAGGGCTGAGACCCCAGGTGCCAAGCTGCCAGCTGGGAAGATACCAACTGCCTTTGAAAGGGTCTCGTCTGTCTTTAGATGAAGGTCATTAACATCGTCAGTTTTCTCAGCTAGACTGCGTGTCAGCTGACCAAGCGGTCACTCCTGACCATCCCTGTCCTCCCTGAGCCCACCAGTCAGCTCGAACCCAAAAGAACCAACCACCGTCTTCCCAAGAAACTGCTCATGAGGATAAATCCACTATCTATTCTCAAAAACATAACAACAAAAAGCCAATGTGAACATAGCAACTGACCAGAGTCTCCATGCCCACCTCCCTCTGGAGCCACCCTGGCACCAGCAAAACGCCGCCCACAGGGCCCACAGCAGCACGGTCCCCAGACAGGCTCCGGCCCCGCATCCCTCGAAGCAGCCCACTCGAACCCTGCACTGAGGGGAGACTGAAGTCTTCTCTCCTGTGATAGATACTCCAGAGCTGTGATCCCGGGAACGCCCTTCTCCACGCCAACCTCCGAGACAAAGGCACCGGGGCTGAGCACCTGGCCATCGGGCGCCCGGGGCGCCAAGACAGACCCCACGTTACTGAATCACACCGAGAGTGCTCACAACACTCGGACATCCCAGCTCAAACGTCTTCCTATTTCCCTACGTCCGTAACTCATTGTTGAGAAAACAGCGCATAGAACACAGTTCTATTGATATTAAAATTACGTATGTATGTGTGTGTGTGTGAGACAATTCTCTCTTTCTCTGTATGGCAGAATTTCAGATTATTTTTACTTTATTTATACTTCTCAATGTTTTCATTGCTTACAGTATCACTTTTGTAATCATTAAAAAATTAAGCTATTTTCATTTCACAGGGAAAAAGAACAAATATCTCTAGATTCTGAAGGCAGTTCCAAGCAAGGCTCCGCCAAACGCTCTCGGGAGACTGTTGTGAAGGAGAACCCAGGAGAGCGCAGAGCCCGTGCGGCCAGAGCAGCTCTGCGCGCCCCCACCAGCCAAACACTTGCCCGCGGCAGGTGTCTCACACTGAACAAACATGTAGTTTGGACGTTGACTTCTAGCCATTTGACTTTTAAAATCATTATTTTATGAGCCCTCCTTTTACTCTAGCTTATGTTTTATCTAAATTCAGTGTATTTAGAAGAAAAATTTTAAATCAGCAATGAGATTCTACTAAGCTTTATAGTATATTTTCCAAAGGCCCAATTGATGGAAAATAGAAAAATGGGCAGAGCAGGGTCTGGAAAGGACTCCGTGGCCCAGCAGCGGGCAAGAGCCTGGGCCACACGAGAAACACCTCCCACTCCTCACGGTCCCCACCATGAGCATCGGCCTCTCTGCTGTCCCCCAGCACAGGCCTGCCACCTCGACAGCTGCTCCATGGGCAAAGGACCAAACAAAAGAGGGGGGGGGGGCAGCCTCCGCTGCAGATGGCGTGTGGCACCTCGCCGGCAACACCCCACGCAAAGAGATGGATCGTTTCACCCGACGCTGGGACGAGGTCAGGATGAGTCCTGGGCAGTTAAACGTGACCTGCACCCCAGCGACGACACTGGTCAGACAGTAACTAATTCTTAGCCAGTGACCAAAGGCCGGGGTCCTCCGCTCTGAGGGATGGAAGCCGGGTGCACACGGGCTCCTGGCGAGGCTCACACAAGGCAGAAGCCAACACTTCTCTTTAAAAACTCCACTGAATGAGTTTCTGGAAACAGAGCAAAGCACATGATACATGACCAGGTGAGCGTCTACTTTCTTGCAAACTGGGGGCTCTGGGGGACAAGGGAGCACGAGCAGCAGCTCCCCCAGGAGGGCTCGCGGCCGAGACAGCAGACGTGAGGGGGCGTCCTGGGCAGACGGATGTCCCGCGTGAAGACAACGCCCGCACCGTCTGCACTGCCTCCTCCTTTCACACAGAGGACACAGCGCAGAGGACACAGCGCGACATCCAGCAGCAGCCTGACCTGACGCCGTCGGCATGGCCTCGCTCTCCCAAGAACGTTTTCTGAGCAACGAGACAGACCTCACACCTCCTTCCCCAACTTCAGGTGTTGTTTTGTTTTTTTCCTTTTTAGCATAAACTCATGTTTTAAATGGATCTGAGGAAACAGTCTGTTTTCATTGCTAACAGAACAAAAAGCACAAGTGTAATTTAATTACTTACGATTTACGTATTGCTTTTACTTCCAAAATAGTAACGATAAAAGTTTACCGTATCTTGTTCATAAAACAATCTTCTGAAATGACAAACCCCAATTATGAGGCCAGGTCATAACATATTTTTAAAACCTTTATATTAACCATGAGATTCTCACAAATACAATGCCACAAAATAGTTTACAAAAGCCATATAACAGTCAAAACAGGAGAGACTGGCGGGTGGGCCCGGGGCCTCGGCGTCTGGCGGCCACAGGCTCAACTCCGGAACAGCAGCATCCGCTCGGCGCAGGCCTGCCCCACCAGGCTGGCGTACTGCCGCACGGCCGCGTCCTCGCTTGGGTCCCGCTGCTGTCTCCGGTATACACCGTAAGGCACGATGGCTTTCTTGTGGAACACCCGCAGCCGGTCGGGGTCCTTGCTGCAACCTTCATCCGCTGCAACAACAAGATTCTGGTTAGAAAAGTCACAGAGCAAACGACTTCTCATTTCCCCGTGGAAACACTTACTGGACGGTGACTGCCAAGCACGAGCTGTGCTCTCAGACGAGGTCTCACGGACACTGGGCCCGACCTGAGCTGATAAACATGAGCCGCAGCCTTGCTGGGAGGTGATTGATTCCCGAAACGTCGGGGAGACAAAGAACTGCATGCAACTAAAACACTGGCCTTCGACACCTCTGCATTTTCTCACGATGAAGTGTACGACCCTGGCGCCTTCTGGAGTCAGGCCGACACGCATGTGGCCAGCACGCTGCCTGTCTGACCGGGCATCCCACCCACGCAGCAGTCGGGGCGATGGGCACCACCTGGGAAGGGGCAGGTGCACACAGCGACGCAGGACACCCAGAGCCTGCCGGTCCTGCCACCAGGGCGGCTCCTTCCCCTGTCCCGTGGGAGAGCACCCGGCTCTCAGCGGGCACCCTGCACCCAGAGGACAGCTGGTTCCCAGCCGTCTCCGCAGTGCACCGTGACCAGGTTCTGGCTGAGACTACACAAGGTGACGTCTCTGAGGCTGCTTCCAGAAACCTTCACAAGGACAGCTGGCCCGCGCCCTCTGCCTCTCCACTCTCCGATCCTCCTCCACTCTGCCCGCGGAACGAGGACGGCAGGCGGGCCATCTCGCCGCAGTCTTGGGGCTTGAGGGGAAGAGCTTGCCCTCAGCTCCCCGAAAACAAAACCAAGTAGGAACCTGGGTGTGTGGACACAGGGACAAGCTGCCGTGCCAGCCGACTGCCCCGCCTGGACGCGGCACAGAATGGAGAGACTCTCTTCGTCAGCAGCTCCTCCTAGGCACCGGCCCTGTTCTCACTCACCAGTTCTAACCCACACAGAACCACGTTACCATGGCACCGAGACGGGCACCGTCTCCTCACTGGCTCGGCGAGGCCACTCGGGAGAACGCCAGACAGTGGCAGTGCCCCAGGACCAGGCTTTTCTCAAGCCTTTCAGGGGGGTGAGGACCTCTGTCCTGAGACGCATGCACACCCGTGTTCATGGACACACGTGAGGATGTTACAGCGACACTCTCGTACGGAAACTGAAACCACCTACACGTCCATCACGAAGACCAGGTTCAACACGTCAAGGTACACACACAACAGAAGGCCGCACAGCAGCACAGACGACGCGAGAGAATCGGGCAGAAACCGCAGACAGTAGGAACCACTGCTCCCGTCACCCCTCTGGCTCCACCAGATGGCTCAGCACAGCTCCCTGGAGGCCTCCGCCTCCTACCCAGCAGCCGCTGCCCTTGCTCCCTGCACCGCCCTCGTCACACTTCGCGCCAGCCGAGCGCTTGCTGCCGGCTTCCCTCCCAGCAGAAGTGCTATGAGAACAGAGACCAGGTGAAAACTGCGACTGCGGTGCCCTTCCATTTCCCGCGTGTCTCAGACGACGGGCGACACACAGCCGTGCCCAGCAGCATGTGCAGGGAGCACACGTCGACCCTGACGGCTATGTCTCAAGAGAAATCCACATTGTGGGACACGCACACACATACTTACACGTGCACAGTTACACACCCCCACACACGTGCGCGCACTGTTACACATCCACACTCATACACACATGTACTCACACTCCCACACACGTGCACACTTACACACCCACACTCGCGTGCACACACGCACTCACACACACCCACGTACACTCACAATCCCCACTCACATACACTCATACACATTCACACACACATATACAAATATTCACATATACACACACTCATACACAAACACATTCACACACACTCTTACACACTCATTTTTCTGGATTTTCTACAATGAGCATAAGGTTGTCATAATGTAAGCAGCTCCAAGGCTGACTGACGCACTCCATTTCTTTGCTGAGCTCGGATCTCCCAGAAGACAGAAGCGAGGTGCCAGTCCCCGCGTCCGTAAGTCCAGGCTGTTCCGGATTTCTCAGGGCCGGCCAGCTGCACCCTCGCTGCTCCAAGCGGCGACCAGCTTCCACACAGCCAACGCAGGCCAGCACTGCACTGGATCCCCCACACGCCACGCTCTGATACTCACGTTGGCTGGATTCCATTCCGAGTTGTTTTGTGATGGAAGCAACAAATAACACATGTTTCTTCCTCAACTGATACTATGTTCTCTGCTAGGTATTCATTAACTAATCAGGGTCAGTCGGTCAAGATCAGTTTCAGAAGAGAAGAAGCACACTGTTCCGCTAGTGTCTGAGAGAGACCCCGTTTCATGGACTTGTCTCACACGCGACCTGCCTCCGTCCCTGAGAGAGTGAGTCAGGGCAACGGCACTGCAAACTGACCTCATTCTGTGGCTGTGCAGTCATCTGAAAGGGGGGTGCTAACTAATGGTGCACCCCCCCCCCAGGAGAAGTGACACGCGAGCAGACCCGCTCCCACTGAGCCAGAGCCGGGAAGGCACGATGGACGAGGAGGGAGGAGCAGCCTCGGATTCCGCTCTCCCAGGGCATGCCCAGAGACCAGGTGAAACAGCACCGTGGCAAGAGGGCTCCTCAAAGCACCTGCTTCATCCCATCGACCCCCAGATCCGGCCCGCTGCCCTGCCTGACCCGCTCTGCAGGAGGAGCTGGGGAGACAGAAGCCAGGGGGCTTCTCCCCACAACCTCTCCCCTCCTCCCCACTCCCTGCTTTTCGGCAGCAGCTCCAGGGGCTCCTGAAGTTGCCGAGGTTCCCGCTCCCATGGGCAGCCCGGCCCTGGGCCCGTTTTACTGTCCAGCCTGCTGCTGCCGACCTCTGGGTCACCTCTCCCCGTACGAGATGTTCTCCACTGTGAACACTGTGGTGGTTCTGGTGTCGCCAGCTGGACACACCAATGTCAGAGTACACACTGCTTCCTACAGAGTCCGCTGTCAAATGGAGACGGAAAACCCATGTGCTTCAAAACGAGAACACTGAGCGTCCACTGGGGCACCACCCTCCCGGGGAAAGGGACAGCACACACAAGGCGCCCTGCCTCCTGCAGCCGGCTCCTCCTAACGTGCCGGCCACCGCCACCCCTGCCACCCAAGGGGAGCGCCGCGGCAGGGAAAGGGCCCTTCAGGACGGTTACAGTCCGACAGACAGACAGACCCTGGTCACGATCGGGGAGAACAGACGAGACGCGGAAACATCACCCAGCTGCACAGTCCTCCAACCTCAACCCCGGGGCTTCCAAGAGCTGGGATTTTAAAGTACGTCTATATGAAAGGATGTTTAAGTTTTCACCTTTATCCTAAAGTATTTTAGGACAGACATACTTTAAGACAAATGAATGGAACACCCTAGCAAATAAAAACATAAGATTTGACATAACATCATCTTCTTTTATGTAGAATAAAATGCCAATCTCTAATTTTTATTCTTTTCTAGTATAACATACAAAAATAAAAACAGAAGATTAGGAAAAGCCCAACATGGTGTGTCGTTTACATCAACTGTTTCAAGTAGACTCTGGTAGGAAGTTTGTGTTGTTTCACTTGTTAAAGCCAGTACAGCCGACCCTTGAACAAAGTGGGTGTTAGGGTCACCGATCACGTGGTGTAATTTCTGACTCCCCAAAGCTTAACTATGGACAGCCCACTGCCGACAGGGAGCCTGCGGACGACATGGCAGCGGATCAGCACGTGTTCCAGATGTTACGTGTGGCACACACTGTTCTCACACTAAGTGAGCTGGGGAGAGAAGAGGCTACTAGTGAGACCAGGGAGAGAAACATGCTCGGTGCTGACACTGCCGAGCTGCTGTGCGCATGCAGATGACCTGTCCGTCTGTCCGTCAGCACCTACCTCTACACTCTTCTATGATGCAAGACGCTGTGCATGTTGCGGTCACTACTAGCACTAACATAAAAACACAACAATAACGGGAAAACCTGCCCCTTGCAGGTGTGCACACCGCTTGTGCATGGACGGCTAGGCCCCAGCACACTTTCCACACCGCTGTGTGCGGTCGCGGTCACGACACAGTGCTGGGGTCGCTCCCCTCACAGAGCCGCTCCCCCGCAGCACCGGTGGGTGCGGTTTCTCCAGCCACGAGCACAGGCTGCAGAGTAAGGTGACCAGACAGTAAGACCCCCGCACTGCACCGATCTGACGGGGAATGTCGCTCGCCTACGTACGGGCAGGCCGTCCACTGCACACGAGCTTGCACACGCTCCGCACGATGAGGGCTTAGGTGCCAACAACCCAGAAACGTCCCCTCCGGTTCTGGCCGCGGTGACGCGGTGACCACACGCAGATTCGCACCCACGCAGCAAGGCTTCCTCCCTGGCTGCACAGCACCATGACTCCCTGCGAGAGCTGCGTGGCAGTGGTTGTCACGAAGGTCATCCTCTGCCCGTCTTCCCGCGGTGGCGGCGGCGGGAGCGGGAGAGGCACGCGCACAGTGACTTCACAGGAACGCACGGCCGGCTCCGCCCTATCGCTCTTCCGTGGCTCCGAGAATGTCTCTGCAGTCGCAATCCTTGCTCCAGGTTTGCCTTCGTCTCAGGGTCCGAGCTCTGAACATCAGCACAGTCTTCACGATCGGGACTTCCTGCCAAACGCCTAAGGTCGCAGGTCAACGGGAGCCTCTCGTCTCCACTGAGCCGCCTCCACCCAGCCCTCTGGTATGGTGCCTACGAGCAGGTGAATCCTCCAGGATCCGTGTCTTTACACCCTCCGCCAGGCTCTGCACGGCATCCGGACGGCGTCCTCCAGCAGGAGCTGCGGGCTCTGCACGGCATCTCTGGGCTTTTTCTGTAGTGACGCCTCTTCCGCGGCGCTGTACTTGCAGACCTTCCTGTCCTTCCTGCCGGGCTCCCACCCTTCCCAGGGGGCACCACGTGTAACGAGCTTTGGTCAGAGATCCTGTGCTGGGGGCAAGTGGCCACTCTGACACCATGGGTGCTGAGCTCATGAGGTTCTGCATGGCCAGGGGCATGGTCCAAACACAGAACCCGGGACGCACTCCCTTA